TTCTCTGTATTGTTATGTAGGCTGTTGTTTGTCTTTTTTCTCTGTATTGTTATGTAGGCTGTTGTTTGTCTTTTTTCTCTGTATTGTTATGTAGGCTGTTGTTTGTCTTTTTCGTTGTCTATGGTGTTATCTGTAGCATCTTGCTCGTTCGGCATTGGGACATTTGTAAAGAGAGACTGCCAAGCTTTATGTACGTAATAAAAGCTTCGTTACAGCACTTTGATAGGTCCTTTAGTGGAATGTTCAAAATGCATTGAAGCACCAATGGAAATCTAACATAATACAAAACATAAGTTTTATCGAAATAGTATTCATAGGGGTGCATGGCATGACACCAAAGGATTTATACAATATGTTAAGTTCTATTCTATTTTATTAGTAAAGTTTTTTATGTATTAAAATCAGGGCATCAGTACAAAAGGAGAAAAATATTATATCATTGAACCAAGAAATATTTGTTCCTGACAAAAGTTGTCTGTGAAAGAAATTATGGGAAACATGAGACCGAGTTTCAATTCATATCTCAAATGTCTGTATATGACAGTTATCCTTGATATGGAAATAAGCAGTAGATAATATGTCTATGACAGTTATATTTGATATGATAATAGCTATATAGGTGCTAGATAGTATGTCAACGACAAACACAAAACCTATTCGTGTTTATACATCATACAACTTATAATTGGATGTTGTTACATGTTTTGATACGTTCTATCATCAATGATTGCATTTGGGAGTTTGTAACATTTCTAGTTCACACTAACATGTCAAGTGTAATCAAAATCCGTTATTTTGATGTGAAAGATGGTGCTTGCAAGGCAAATGCTTTATTGACACTTTAAATCCAATTGTATTATCTGTAATAGGCTTTACATGTCTGTGCATGGTCTCTATGGCTCATGTTTTGTTTAAAAATGAAATAACCGTTAAAATAGTTATCTTTTTTTAAAGTACAGAAGAAACAGGGTTACTCACTGTCTACTGAATTGAAACAATGAATTTGGATAATGTTCTTTTGCAATATCAATATTATACATATAGCTAGGGTAATTTGAATGTTTTCCTCTGCAGACAAATGATTTGTACATATATAAGTACATATTATATGATAACTTCATTGGTTGGCCACATGTATACTAGTATTGTTTTTTAGTTTTAAAAATGCAATATCCTGACAATGACATTTGTATTCAGTAAATATTTGCCTTGATTTGTATACACAGGTTTAGTAAAAAAGAAACGTATGAAAAATGCAATGAATTGAACTTAGCTATTTTTATTATTATTATTATGACAATAACTGCTTTAAAATTTTTATTCTGGCATGGTATTTTTAGCTTTAAAGATATCAAAATATCAATATCATCTTAAATATGTTAAAAATGGAGTAACAATGTATAAATGTTCACTAAATAATCTTTATATATTTCATACGATGAATTACTTCACTTTGGAATGTGTTCTGATAGAAAATGAAAACGTAGAAACCAGGTACGTAAGGCTGTCGGATTTTTAGGAGAAAACAAATTTTTAATTTACTTAAAAAAGACAAAAAGCAACAATCCATACATTGTACATGGTAAAGATAGCCTGAACTATTGCCAATCACAAAATGTGGTGGTGACAATCACAAATTGTGGTGGGGACAATTACAAAATGTGGTAGGGTCAGGGTAGTTTTGCGTACTCAAAACTCATTTCTTTTGCTTATCTATATCATACGACGGAAAGGAAACTTTGCAATAACCAAATCTCGTAAAATCTCGAAGTTTTAAATTAGTTTAATCATATTTTATTTGCTTAAATATGCAAAAGGGAGGAGACACAAGTTAATCAAACTTATAAAGTCTTCTTCCAATCTCGTACAATTGTACAATCTAGCTACAGCTGCTGGATGAATACTGATGTCAGAAATTGAATAAAAACCGATGAATTATTTGGAAAAAAGGGTAAAATGTATTATTTCTTAGGAAGGGAGAATCTTGCATTCTGATTGGTTAATTACCTGATGTAAATAACACCCCACCCCAGTTCACCAGGGGACAACTGTATGCTAGAAAGTCCAAAAAAATAAAAATTCTGCTAAAATTCAAAACAAATTCTAAATGAAAAAATTACAAAAGAAAATCTGAAATGAAAAAGAAAATTATTTTGAACACTTTAATATATCGTTAATTTTTCAGGCAATTAAGGACTTTGATTTCTATTTGTTTGTAGTAATCTAAATAAAAAAATATAAGTGTTACATCAGATTATCCAGTTATTGGACGAGCTTTGTATTATCGTTCTTTATCTGTAGAATTCTGTTTGTTATCATATCTATTTACTACAGGCTGATATCCAGTTGAAATCAAACAAAAGAAATGGAACTTTTTTATTATAAAGTGTAAACATGGCCAAGTTGGTATATTTGAATTGTTTGCACACGTGCCTATGGCCTTAAAAACTTAATGTAGATGTATAATATAAGATCTTTTTGCTTCTTATAAATGTGTTTCTCCTCAAATTAAATTATTGAGCTTCGAAATCATTATACATTTTTCATTAAAGAAAAATTTTCACAAAACAATCGATTATGGTAGGTGCAAATGCATTCGGATCTTTAATATGCATACGACAACAGATTTTGGTAACCATTCAAAAAAAAGGTTAATATTATGTTTCAGTATAATATCTAAGGTAATTAGTCTTCAACCTCTGAATTTTTTAGTCTCCCGTCTACAAAATATTGAATATAATAATTTTAGTGTTTTATGAACTTTCGAAAATTCCCCCTGACAACCAATTATGCAATAGTTTTAAGTTAACAAAAGTCCTTAAAGTACATAAAATGATGCTTTACTGTTAAAAATACATTTGTGTTTCAAAATACAACTGTCATGTAAGGATCTTAGTGATGTCATGTGGAAAAAATGTATCGGTTTTCAAGAGTTAAATGTGACAGCGCGTCATCCCCAACATGGCTTCCACTTCATGATTGAAAAATTAGTTGGCGTAATATAGAAAAAAAAAAATTAATGTGAAGTAGAATCCTGACTGCTACATCTGAGTTTCACACTATAACAACGCAAGATACCGACTATAATTTAGAACACAAAACTCGCAATTCGTCTACATCATACTCATAAGTTGTTATGAAAAAAAAAAACACAAATTCCTAAAACGTTGAGATAAATTGTGCGGATTCCATACTTGTATCCGTAAATGGAACCATGTTAGTGAACATTAGATACCTTAACATCCTACAAGATCCAAGTTAATCCTTATTTGATCATCTTACGAAGCCATTGCCGTTTCTATATGACCCAGTTATCTTAGAGCACTTGTTTGAAAATGACATTAACGTACGTTTGTGTGTCTGTGCATCCAGTTTAATGGATCATAACTTCGTATTTATTAGTTAATTCTTGACAGACACTATAAAAAAATGTTGAATAAATTCTAAAGTACATACGATAAACCATCTTGCGGAGGAGTTTGATAAGCGTGAATACAAATGAACAATTGTATACATTCTTTAATTTGACAAAAACAGCGATCGTTTTCTGTACGATAACATGTACAGTGGTTGTAATGGTTTACTGAATTGGAGTATTAATATCAGTTTTTACGGGAAAATATGGCAATAAACTTGATACAAAATTTAGCAGAAGTTACTTTTTTCTTTGTGTTTCAAGATAATGAAAATTAACCCTCGTTATCTATAGATAAATACACAATTATTAACGCACGTTTCTTACTTTACAATCGGGAGTGTAGATAGCCGAAAAGAGTTTGTAAAGAGATATTCAGACCACAAATTACGCAAGATGGTAGGAATAGGTCTAAAACGAACTTGTTTTTATAAAAACGACGTGCTTTTTCTCTACATAAGCTCATTCGTGGCGCTCGTATCAAAATGGTTGGAAAGTCATATCAATATCACGAATGAAGAGTGTTGGTTACTGTGTTGGAAAACAAGTAAAAGGAATCTTGCTAAGACCGTTCATACATTGGGAAAGAAAATTACAGTATCATTGAAAGTTCTTGTCAACATAGAATTGCTGACCACTAGGCTGGTGATACCCTCGGCGACCAAAGGTCAAACAGCACTGGTTTCGACTTGGTTAGAAAACACAAATATTTACACCATTACTAACACAATTCTATATTAATATTCTTGTAATGGTTAGAAAATACATAAAATAACACCATTACAAACTCAATCCCAATTTTATATTCTATTTTAATAAAACAATAAATTATGATGAAAAATACATGCAAGACATAGAATCTATTTATAAGGGGTACTGTATAAAATGGGGAACGAAACGATTTTAAAATGTTGGTACTATCCTATCATACAAATATATTTCTGCCAATACATTAGACTACCTTTTCATCTTTCTTCGAAATAAAATTTCCCTTCTTTTATGCATATATGGTACCTGCATTTATATCTTATGTCGATCGACAAATGCGAAATTTGATATCTCGTATTATTTTTATTTACAGAGATGGTCAGAAAAAAACTGAAATTTTAATATGTGTATATACCAGCAGAGTATGGTATTGTTGCTGAACTGGAAAATAGAACAATCCGATCATCATTCATTTAATCGATTGTCAGGTCTGAATTGAAAGGTGCTGAAAACGGTGATCTGTCAAAAAGCAGACCTATCCTTAGAACCGGCCAAACAAAGACCTGTTCACAAGTTTGATCTAGTCTGAAGCAAACCTATCACCAGGACTGGTCGAAAGCAGACCTGTCCACAATTCTGACCTATCAATAGCTTTAAAGCAGCCCAAACAAGAAGACTGATAAAGTTTACTAGTTTGTTTGCTCAAATTTTCTTAAGTTTGAAAGCAGTCAAAATGTCTGCCCAAAGTTAACTTTTGTACATGTTGGGAACGCACCAACCTGTACTTCTATGTAAACGAAACCATTTTATTGCTTTATTGTGTACATGGACCAATAACATAATTGTCATATTGATCACATGTTAATTGAAACAAGACATTATGTGTCGTGGTATCGTTATATCATTTGCTTTTATAAATCGAAAAGTGGCTGGTCATTATTTCTTCTTATAGATTGTTATCGCCAATCCAGGTATAGTATTTTTTTCCATCAGTCTTATTTTTGTAAATATGTTCTTCTATTCATTCTTTATTTTCTTCCTCTTTTTCTTGCTTTTGTTAAATTACAAATAAGTAACATTTACTTTGTAGATGCCAGCGACGCAGATAACGTATTAAGTACTATATTAACGTTGCTGAGAGAGTTTGTTTTTCAATACTGCAGTCTTATTTGTTTGCAAATTCCGATTAATTAAATTAGGTCATTGTACTTAAAATAAGTTGCAATTCTTCTGATAAAGTATCGTTTTGCATGTGTTTCTATGGTAAATTAATTTTTTTTTTTGCATTTTCCATGATTTAATAGTAGAATTAAGTATCTTTTCTATGCAACTGTCATACAAGTGAGAGGTTTAGCTAGCTATAAAACCATCCACCATTTTTTACATAAGGAAAAAAATGCCTGTTCCAAGCCAGGAATATGACAGTTGTTTTCCATTCGTTTGATGTGTTTGAGATTTTGATTTTGCCATTGATAAGGGACTTTTTCCGTTTTGAATTTTCCTTGGAGTTCGGTATTTTTGTTATTTTACTTTTTTCTAAGATAAACAGTTAAAATAAAGGTAAAAAATATGACTTTAATTCAGAAATAAACTTTAATGGTTAAAACAACAAAACAATATACGTTTTTATAGACCTGCAATTCAATGTGGGCAAACCAGGATGCCACCAATTCTAGACGCCCGGCAACCATATCATTTGCTGACGGTATGGATTTCGATGTAAAGTAAATTAACTTCTAATATAGTATAAAAATCTAAAATGAATGAACTTTTACATGAGTACGAACTTTGTTGCTTGAATAACAGTCATCAAGTATGCTCGAATAGGATTTTCAAAATGTATAAATTTGTGTTAACACATATGTTGATATACATATATTGTCCGTTGTTAGTCTGTTTGAAATAAAAGTTTAAAATATGACCAACTATTTGTCAAGGAATGGCCTATTTAACCAACCAGATCATAATAGCAATAATAACTTTATCAAAAACTATTATTGGAAAACAAAACTTTAACTAACCTTGAGATTTAACACAACATTTTGGTGTAAGTATGTAAAGTATACAGGCCAGGAACGGTATTGTTATTAACAAAGCTACTCACATGTGGCTCGAAGCATGACTCTATTTTTTTGTTGTATTGCTATTTCATTTTCGGCCTTATAATATTTTTTTAATTCAATCCAGTTATTGTACATTAATTTCTATATAAAAACAAAAACAAATCATAGCCTTAGTTTCTGTATAATTTAACTAAACAATTTCAATGAATTTGTCGACTGAAAATTAACGTTTTGCTAAGATAGCTTCTCACGAATTTAAATAAGAATAGTTCCATCGATGGTAATCAAATTTTGGTTAAGTTCGTTCCTGATGATGGTAAATCTAGAAAAGCACTTCTTTCTCACCAAATTTATTTTTTTCAATAAACAATAACTAGGCCGGTGACCAAAGTTGGAATTATAAAAGTTTAATCGTCAAAAATAGTACACGGCTATATCATATATCATTCGATTCGAAAATATGTGTACTTTGAAATTAATTTGGTCGTCAAAAGAAAATATGGTGCAGTTTTTCAGAAATCAAGATCAAAGGTCACATGTCGTTATCAAGGAAAAACAAAATTGAATATCTAATTCCAAATTAAATACCCTTTTTGCAGTAGAATGATTGAAAACTTGAATCTATTTTCTTCCTTATTCTATTTTTCATCAAAAAAGTGGAAACCCATCATAAAATGAGTTTTCCGAGAAAACGTATGCGCCTTTACAAAAAGGGGGGTGGTTTTCAGTTTAAAAAGATGTATTTTTTCAAATTATAAGAACAGCGGCCGTCAAAACTATACAAAATGTAAAGAAAAATATGAACAAACATGTATTTGCTAATATAACTATCTTTTATACCCCAATGAAAGAGGAAACTTGTGTTTTGGGCATAAACGTTGAACTCGGTACATGCAAAACTGGCAACAGAAATTATTTCAGAACAGACTTATAATTGAGTTTAAACAATGTCATGACGTTTTGTATGGGATAAAATGTATTAATAGGAATATAAACCATTACAAAATAGACTAACAACTTTTAAAAGACTTTTATTAATGATAGAACCGCCTTTTATTCGTTTAAAAATTGTGAAAGTTTCGGTTATTCAATCATAAACAAGATAAAAAATTTCCTCTATGTATGATAGTTTAACATCGCTCTAAACATACGTAACTTTAATAGGTAATTCAGATTTCAAATGACTTTTGTATTGTGGGAATGTTATTACAAGGTTCTAACCCTTGGCTGGAATACATATGGTCGTACATGGAAGGTTTAGCAATTCTCGAATACCAATATTGGTCCAAATTGGTTAAAGAACACGACAAAATTCTTAGACCACAAATCCTATAATATTGCAAATATGAATGTTAAGCTTCGGACATTTAACCTGTTGTGCATTGGAATAGAGTGGTGGCCAAATGTTTGTGTACCACATGTAGCGTGCTTTTATCCAGTGTCATTGGATATTTCAAAACATTTTGTCATTGCCAAATACACTTTGGCCATATCAATCTAAAATTGGGGGACATTAAACAGCTGTAACATCGGAGCACCTCTAGGACAAATATCAAATAAACCCTGTCCAGAAAGGAATGGTTTTTCTTGCTGCTTGCAACTCTAAATATCTCTCAACAAAAGTCAAGAAAAAACCATCCCTGATCGACAGTATACACTTGTCATGATTACATGACTGTAGTCTGTGGAATGTTTCCGATTGCAGTGATCGTTCTGCCCTACGGTCTGGTCTGTATAATTGATTTGATATCTGAACTAGGGTTAGCATTGATATCGCACTGCTGATGGCAAACAACTTGTTTCTGTAAATTTGTCTTTGTACACCTTCCGGGGGCACACGAGATAACCTCCGGTTTTCAGTAAGGTTGGAGTAGATCTTTAATTTTCTATGTAGTGTTTTGTAAAATTTTATATGTCTTTACGTCGTTCTTCGACGTCGTTCTTCGACTTTTTCCACGACGTTTTGATATTGTCGTCGACTTATAAGTTTGAATATCCCTTTGATATCTGCAGTCTGTTTTAAGCAGTTTTATGTTAGAAGCCCACCGCTGTTCATAAAGTCTGTACTGGGTCAACATGCACGAGGATAGGGTATCAATTGAGATATGTAAACACCATACGATGGCGTAGAGGATATAGTACTATTGAGACATGGAGAAATTTACAGTTCGAAAGTTAAAATCGTCCTCCAAAGTTTGTCATAGATTTTTGTTTGAAGTCGTCAGTCTGTGTCAATATCAAAGAAAAGGTCAAGATATGAAGCAGATATTTTAGTTTCTGTAGTCTCCTTTATCACATGCTGACTGGGGAATATGAAATGTAAGTACTGACTGACTGACATGTGGATTATAGAGAGACAGAAAGCCTTCAATATATATCTGAATTTGAAATCAAAGAACTAAGCAAAATGGCTTTCTTTAGGTCTTTGATAAAGTTCTGCATTTCCAATTGCAGTGTAGACTGTAAACACCGTTATGTTATGTTGACTTATGCATCATTCGTGTCCGCTTTAATAATAAAAAATTTCCAAAACAATAAAATGAGCTTTTAAAAGTCACAATCATCCGTGCATTTTCCTGTAAATTTCATCATGATCCATCATTACACAGGTATCAACTGTGTCAAAATACCTCGGTTGACTGTAAGGGTAATTAAAACAATTATCCCACTTCTGCTTTTAAGAAAATAACATTATTTAAGGGATTTAACTTAATGTTTTGCTTCTATGAAATGTTAAAGCCAAGATTCCACATACTTCCCAGTTTTATCATCTTTTTGGGATTTTGTCGGATCTCCATTTCTTAAATCAACAATTGTAAACTTATTTTGCCTCTAATATGAATAAAACTAAATCAACAAAACCTCAAAAAAGAATTACGGACATCCAAATAAATCAACAAAACAATAAAACATCAACAAAAACAAGTAATATCAAGTCCTAAATATTTGAGGAAAACTATGTATGCAGCCCAATCAGGGACGGACACAACTCTCCGGATTTTTTTTAAGTTAATGATTGCATAGAAGAGATTTTTGAAAGGTTAAAAAATATCGTTTTGAATAATCTTACCTCATAAAAACTTGTATATATAAATAGAAAAATTGCAGTTTTATTAATTTTCAGTAGTTACGATATAATTCATTCATCAGCGCCTTATTCTATGATGTTGGAATCGGGTGAAACACAAAATGTCCCCATTTACATTAATTTGTACCTTCATAATTTGTCATCAAAAGGCATTAAGGATTATATTTTTCGCCTAATGAATAAAGCATTATGTGTGACGTTAAAATAAAACAAAAAAAGAAATATATTTAAGTGCAGCCTTTGAATAAAAAGCCAAACTGCGTGCCATTATTGATCTGCATTTGAAGTCAAATTCGCTAGCTGAACGCTTAAAAAAAACTGCACCATACCACTTTTTGACGACCAATCTTAAATTCAAGTAAAATCATTTTCCTAGGACTGTGCAAATTTTTAGCCGTGTATTATGAAGTGAAATTAAACTCTTTTACTATTCGACTTTTTCCTGTTCCGTCACCGCACTAAACGTAATAAAGTTTGAATTGTATGAAAGTTTGATCATTGGTGCTTTGTTTAAATAGATCTTGGCAAATTACAACATTTTGGTATAGTTTTGATGGTGCTTTGCTTTCTTATTTCAATTCATCACAGACAAATTTATTAATATTGTTGCAAAAATTGTTGCAAATTTTGCCAAATGGCAAGAGAACCTAACATTAATTTTATTGTTATATGATGCTTCTTATTTTCTTTTTTGTTGTAGAAAAATATGATCAGCAAAGCATTTCTCCTTCTAAGTATTTCATTCAAAATTGTGAATTCAGACATATCATGTTCAACAGAGCCAAAATGTAATTGTATCATTCTTGAAGATGGGATATATGCAGACTGTATGGACAAACAGTTAAACTCATCACCTACGTTCAACGAAAACGTCACATCAATCAATCTTAGTTTCAATTATTTAACTTATCCTCCCTCAAACGAGAATTTACCAGAATGTTTACAAAAGTTGAATGTTTCTAACAATTTTATCGATACCTTATCGTTTGATTTAGAAAGAATGTTATTTTGGAAAATAACCGGACTTCAATTTTTAGATTTATCATCAAATAAACTTTTAATAGATGGAACTTTCTTTTTTCCAAATATTTTTTCAAATTTCTCGCTCTTAGAATTGCTTGATATATCTGGAAATGTTATTCCCGAAAATGGATTTCCAGAATTCGATACAGTGATGGCTCCATTGATTTCTCTGCGATTTCTGTCGGTCGATATTTTTGATAATATAACGTTCGGTAAAAGCTTTGAGAAAATATTGAATCTAAAGTCACTTAAACTCGCTGGTGTTTGCAACACTTCACGGACTTTTATTATTACGGAAGATTTTTTCTTTTATCTTCCTTTTCTTGAATATCTTGATGTTTCCACTCTAGAAGTGTGGACAAATTTTTACGATAGTTACAATAGCCTTTGTTATTGTTCCTTGACAAGTATTCACAGAGGAGCTATAGGAAAACTGGCTCATTTGAAATATCTTGACATATCTAATAACCGATATCTTGGACTCTGTGGATTACGTAATATAACTAATGACCTAGATCTAACAAGCATAGAAATATTTAGAGCTAATAAATTGTATTGTCAGGACAGCAGATCAGTCACATTGTATTGCGATGATATATTAAATTTGCGAAATACCTCCCTCCAAGAACTTTATATTGATGGAAATAATATCGCAATTGGACAGCCAGGAATACTTACTTACTTGCCATCGTCTCTGTTAGTCCTTAGTATTAGGGAAAACCGTTGGGTTGCTGGATTATACACCTGGTCGCCATATGATAATTTGATTAACTTAGTTCGCATTGATATAAGTAATATAAATAATCATGAAATGTCCCAATCCGATTCAGCACATTATCCTTGTTGTTTACATTTTCTAGAAGATGTCTCATGCGAGAAATCGAGGATCAAGAACGTGAAAGGCGATAATACTAGTGGTTCATGTTCTTACACCCCACAACACTACAACGATGATATTCAAAGTAGAAAGTCAATTGACATTTTCAAAAATCCAGATCCTTGGAGGTGTTTTTATCCGCTTGGAGATGCTGACGTCCACTATATAATGGTTCCTGAAAATGTAAAGTCAATTATAATGAATAATTCAAGATTGGGGTATGCAATTCGTTGGACAATATTCAATACCCTGTCCATCATTAATCTTACCCTAAGCAATAATCAATTCTATAGTTTTATTGGTCCTATATGTAACGCGACAAATCTCAAGTTTCTTGATCTTTCAGGTAACAAATGCTCTAGCCTTACTCCATATTTCCTTAATTCATTACCGTCACTAGAAACTCTTTTACTGAATGATAATCTGTTAGGTCTAGCTGGAACACTTCAAAACCAAAAAGCTTTCTTTGTTTTTGGGTCTCTGACTAATCTTCTATATTTAGATTTATCCTCAAACAAACTCTCGTTACTTTCAAAAAATATTTTTTGGAATTTGCAGAAAATAAAACTAATAAGTTTAAAAGACAATTTGCTAACGGATTTTGATATAAACATAAAGCATATGCCAGATCTGACATTCTTAGATTTATCTGAAAACCAAATTATTTACTTATCAAATGACGCAATAGATGGCATTAGTCAACGTACGAGCAGGAATTTGAAAATTGACCTTTCCAAAAATCCTTTTATGTGTTCTTGTAATTCTCTTAAATTTCTGAAATGGTTACAAAAAAATCAACATGTATTTAAGGGTTTTTCTAAATACCAATGTTCAAATGCTACAAATTATGAAACTTTAATAGATGCTGTTATATCTCTTGACAAAATTTGTTCTTCATATATTGTTTTGATTATTGCAATTTTGCTTCTGATTATTGCATTTTTGGTTTGTTTCATAATAGCTATAATATACAAAAACAGATGGAAGATAAAATACTGGTACTATATTGCAAAACGTAATTATTTTCAACATGACTATCTGCGTTTGGAAGATAGACAAAACTACAAATTTGATGCGTTTCTTTCTTACGCTGATGAGGAACGTATTTTCGCTACTGGCGAACTGACGACAAAACTGGAAGAGAATGAGAATTTTCGTCTATGCATTCATGAACGGGATTTTATTCCCGGCTGCGATATCGCTGACAATATCATAAATGCTATCCATAATAGTCGTAAAGTAATTTTCATAGTAACTCCTTTCCTTAAGTCAAAATGGTGTATATATGAATTGAATATGGCTTATATGGAATATGTTGTGTCCAGGCAAGGTGTAAATTGTATGATTATGGTAATAAAGGAGAAAATTAAAGAAAGAGACATTCCTAGAAACATGTATGATATCATGAAAGATGAGAGCTACTTAACATTTCCGGATGATGAGGAAGACGAAGCGGCTTTTTGGGAACGTTTGATCGATTCCTTGAGGTAGATTTGATCTTGAGAAAGAGTAAATATGTGTGTGTGGGGGGGGGGGGGGGATGAGAAAGAGGGAACACTCATAGACGTTATTAAAGTTTTCTTTCCATGGATGTTGTAAACAGTGCATAACAATTAGTAAATGTATTTTAGTTTGTAATGTGATTCAGTGTGGCTGTTATAAACATTGGTAGCTAAATGTAGACTTTTACATTGATTAACTTTCTGTGTTTTTTTTTTAGATAACATAAGAATAGGGAGATGTGGTATGATTGCCAATAAGATAACGTTTGTTTTAAGTTTAGCCAAAAACTCCTGCTAGTTTTTATTCTATCGAACATCAAATTTATAGGACACATGGCACGAATTTTTATTTATTGAAATTCGTCCTGACTTTGATTGATAAATTATAATTTCATTGTTTAATTATTATGTGATGGAATGTTTATTTTTTCAAAATCTAACAATTTGATAAAAAAAAAGTTGAACACCCTGTCAAAATGTTTTTTTAAAGATTTTACTATTTTGTTATTGTACACAATGGCTTAAATATTAATCTCAAGAAACTTATTGATGGATGTTAGAATTATATTTCAAAATGGAGTTTGGTATTTTCTAGAATTATCACCGTTTGATTTTGATATCAGACCTATGGTATTTTTAATTAATTCATCTAAACGTCGTTTTGTTCTAGGGATATGAAGAGCCCGACACATGTTTCATCTATCATCAAATGTTAGGAAAAGGGCCTCGATGGCCGAGTGTTCTAAGTAGTCGAACTACTGAACCACTATCCAGTAAACACGAAGATGCGAGTTCGAATCCCGCACGGGGCAGGTGCACTCAACTCCAATCTTAATTGACTGGATTGTCAGTTTTCCTGCCGAAGGTCGGTGGTTCTCTCCGGTCACTCCGGCTTTCTCCACCAATAAAAACTGACCGCCACGAAATAGCACAATAGTGTTGGAAGTGGCGTTAAACACCAATCAATCAATCAATCGTATGTTAGGAAATGACATCACAATATAATCAATGTTGAAATAATGATTATGCTTCAATAAGTAGTAAACAATATTTGAGCATTGATATTAAACATCTGTACATGCGTTGTAATAGTAATGAAAACGTTTTTGATTTTCAAAACAAGTTTAAGTCAGGAGCCTTTAGTTCAGTGGGTGTTGTTGCAATTGGTGCATGTCTGTCATATTTGCTTTCTTAAATTGTTTTGTTATATATTATGTCGTTAGTTAGTTGACGGCCATACGGTAGCCTATAATTGTTTACATCCACTTTATTTGAACTTTGATGGATAGTTGTCTCATTGGCAATCATACCACATCTCTTTACTTTTATATTCAGATGTATTGGCGATAACAATATGTCCACTCATGGAATTAGATAGGATAGAAGCAGATTATGATACTTTGGCTATGCTTTGAACTTTATGGTGGACATTTGATAAGCTTAGGGTATATTTCATATATTAAAAAAAAAATAACTTCATGATATATTATCATTTCTTGCATTTTTTAACTGATAAATATTTGTTTAATTACTAATAAGACATATGTTGTCATACTGCATACTAGTTTTAATTGTTTTTTATTTTGTAATTCAAGCTACTATGTTTTCTTTTTCCTATATTTCTTTCTTTATGTTACAAGATATATATAGCAGAAAGTTACCTAATATTTGTTATAAAGATTATTAACTCATCATAGTTACCGGGATTAAACTTTCTTCGGAAAATGCCTGTACCAAGTCAAGAATATGACAGTTTTTTTTTTTCATTCGTTCCGTTGGTTGATAGCGTGTGATTTTGTCAGTTTTTATGGACTTCCCCTTTTTTAATTAACCTTGGAGTTTGGTATTTTTGTTCGCCAGACGCGCATTTCATCTGCAAAAGATTTATCAGTAACGCATGAATCAAACAAGTTTAAAAGGCACATTATGTAAGTAAGAATATGTTGTGTTTATTATTTTTGAGAGAAACTTAGCATTTCTATAATGCTAACTAGTGTTTATATCTACCTGTTTTACTAATGATGTTTACCTTTAAACTTAGCATTTCTATAATGCTAACTAGTGCTTAAATCTACCTTCTTTACTAATGATGTTTACCTTTAAACTTAGCATTTCTATAATGCTAACTAGTGCTAACATCTACCTGTTTTACTAATGGTGTATACCTTTAAACTAAGCATTTCTATAATGCTAACTAGTGCTAACATCTACCTGTTTTACTAATGATGTATACCTTTAAACTTAGCATTTCTATAATGCTAATATAACTAGTGCTCATATTTACCTGTTTTGCTATTGTTGTTTACCTACAATATTTTTACAATTTTAGTTCGTGTAAATGTCAAGTCTGCATAGTAGTATGAGTTTCTATTTCACCATGTCCATAATTAGATGAGATTAAATCAGATAATAGGTGTAAAAAGTGTGATACTTGCGTACCTGAAATCACCCCAGTTTTTGGTGGGGTTAGTGTTGCTCAGTCTATATTTTTTATGTTGTATTTTGTGTTCTGTTCTTTGTCTGTTGGTCTTTTTCTGTTCTAGCCATTGCGTTGTTAGTTTATTTTCGACTTATGAGTTTCATTGTTCTTTTGGTATCTTTCGCCTCAATTTTGCATTACACTGCAAGCGAACTTAAGTCACAAGTAAATTTACCTCCATTGATATGTTTGAAATTTTACATTGAGAATTTTCAGGATCGATTATGATTATTAACCGCTTTATGATAATAAATTCCTGAATTATAATTATGCATTTATGAGAATCCACACTCAGTTTAAATGTCACCATTTGGAATAAGACACATTCTGTAAATTTACAGATCAGACGACTATTTTGATTTCTAAAGATCTATAACCGCGAATCATGTCGCTAGTGTGTTGCGACACTGACGAAATATTGCAGTCATCGCGTTTGTCATAGTTTCTAGTTTGAAGTCGTCTATATGTGTATTCCTAATCTAAAGTTCTCAGGAATATATGAAATGCAGGCACTCCCTGAAATATTGGTTACTGAGTGATACGACATCATCAATATATATTCAATTTGTATTAAACCTTGTTTTATAACAATCATATTTATCATCAATAACCAATTAGTTTGTTAATCTATTTAGTTTATAATATTTATAATATTGTATTGTATATTGTTTTGTTATAACGATGATTATTCTTCTCAATAATGGAGTAATGGGGGCCGTGATCGTGATTGGTATAAAAAAGTATCTTGTATCTGATTTAAATTAAATAAATTTGAAAGTTGCTTTTTCTGTTTGTCTCTGCATGACACATAAGCTATATGAGTCAAAGTACATGTAAATGAGGACTTCGATGTCTTTTGCAAAATATAACGAGAGTTGTGACAAAGGAACTTACGTCTAAAATAAAGTTAAAAACAGGAAATCATTTATATATATCCTTACTGTAAATGCCTATGCCACATGTGGAGTATGATCTGCTACCCTTCCGGAGCACATGAGATCACCCCGGTTTTTGATGGGGTTGTGTCGCTCAATCTTTAGTTTTCTATGTTGTGTTTTGTGTACTATTGTTTGTCTTATCGTCGTGTTTCATTTTTTGCCATGGCATTATCAATTTGTTTTCGCCCCTATTTTGTTAATTAGTGCAACATTTCTTATTTTACGCAATCAGAAATACTATGTGATTTGAAATGTCCATTTGTGACCGTCACAATAATGGGAATTGAATCGATTGTGTTATATAATAATCTCGTGTCATTATTTTATGGCATTGACATCAGTACAGTATTTGATAGTTTATATATAAGGATTATCCTGCGTAAGCTTGGACAATTTGATATAAAGGTTGACCTCTTGAGATGGCTGTAAGTTACCTTTCATAGTGTACCCTTATTAATATTGTTAAGGTAAATTATCTAGTATAAAACAATTTAAGAAAGGTGTGCCTAACGGATCATTTTTTTTTTTCTTTTTTCTTTTTTTTGTTACATTCATAAATGATATTACAGAGCAAATCATAACTTTGAATTTGCACGTTTAATTACAATTGATGCATTTAAAAGAATATGGTTAATTCTAACCAATTGAAAGAATGATCTGACAGAAAGGTAATCAGATTCAACCCAAATGAAAGAGAAATTATGTAAATATTTTTTTAGTAAGTTAAACTACAATACCTCTTTGACGATAACATTGAGGACACACAGTTGATAATACTATGTTCATATAAATTACGTTGTCAATACATGGATACTACAATTTATCATTACCTTGGGTATTTCAGTGTATCAAATTTTCACTCTTTATGTTAACGATATCCCGATTGATGCAATATGTCTTAATTCGGTTTTACTCGATTACCTCAAGACATATGTGTACTATGAACCCAGAAATAACCCAACAAGTTTTAAGGAAAAAACAACACATTACAAGCTTTGTGGTATCACGAATTACTTAATATTTGTTTTTTTTTTGTTGGACAAATTTTCTGATAATAAAAGAAATGTTGTTCTCTTAAACAGATCCTGTATTCATCATTATAGGTCAGCGTTTATTGTCATTTGTTCTCGCTTTCAATACCAACTGTTGAACAAGAGTATGGTACTGAATCCATATTAGGAGCTGCTTAGATGCTTACATATCGATGCACAAAATCAAAACAGTAAATTAAAAATACCGAACTCCTAGGCAAATTCAAAAAGGGGACGTCCACAAAAACCTGACAAAATTTTACGCCATCAATCAACGGAACAAATGACACAACTGTCAAACTATCATCATTGTACTTCCCCATTTTGTGTAAGTACGATTCAAGCTGTTTTCACTATCTTGTATGTCTATCTATGACTAACGAAATAATATAAAAATCGCTGTATTACTTTCAGATTTATTATTCATGAGGATGCAGCAAACATATGAACAACCTTTTTGTCTTTTAATTGTTTTACTCATTTTTTTATAAACGTAAAAGGTATAAGCAACCCTAATTTTACATAAGTTATTTATTTATAACGGTAAAATTCACATATTAACCTTGCATAGATGTGATACAAATCGTGTCCGATAAACATTAAGACGAACGTGCCTTATCACTGGACAGACATGCACTCGACTGCAATCGTAGTCATAATACCTTGAATAATTAAATTGTTCTGTCAATCTGAAATGCTGCAGTTTATGTATGGACATGTGTACTTTAAGACAATTTAAATTTAGAGCTGAGCCATCTTTTCATCATTCATCACTTGATAAAACCAATAAACAATGTTTGTGCAGACTTGAATTGATGTGGAATAATAATCATTGCGTTTGTACTATTGGCATATTGAATCATCTATTTTCATTTCTTTGTGTATTACCAAGAAAATCTAACGATTAATCTACAATTAGTTGTCAATGCTATTATTTGTTTTCAAATGGTGAAAATTAGTATAATAAGGTAGTGTATCATAATGCGACTGTCATACAAGTGAGAGTTTAAGCTAGCTATAAAACCATGTTTAATCCACCATGTTCTCCATAAGGGAAATACATGTACCAAGTTTGGAATATGACAGTTGTTTTCCATTCGTTTGATGTGTTTGAGCTTTTGATTTTGCCATTTGATAAGGAAATTTCCGTTTTAAATTTTCTTTGAGAGTTCGGTATATTTGTGATTGTACTTTCTACAATCAGGCAGCTGTTTTATACTTCTATCGTGTTAAGAATGACTTAACTTTACATGTGAAGGTATACAAACGCACTTTTGTGATATTCGGGTACTAAATGAACGTCGTAATCTTATATTTTACTTTATGTGTATTCAAAATAGTTTATAAATCATTGTTTATTTCGGTGCCTTTTGCGATCAGAGAAGACATTTATTTAAACATCTAAACACCTGGGGGTGGGTGGGGGGGGGGGGGGGGGGGGGAGTGGGCGGGGTGTGATGACTCAAAGTTTAGACTATATCAACCAACAGAACTAATAAAGAACAACTATAAACACATTGACATGTGGTATGATTGCCAATGAGACAACTTTCCATCAAAGTTCAAATGAAGTAAATGTAGGCAATTAAAGGCAACCGTACGGCCTTTAACAATGTCTGTTTTGCAGATTTTCGGGAATAAAACAAGATACATACTTAGTTAGAAACTTAATATATAGTTATATTTGTACGAGCATTAGATTTATAAAGTATAGTGAGACTCGGGGACGTTTCTGCTTTTTTAGCATCCTCATTACAATTTCCATTTTCGTTTTATGTACGTTTCTTGAATCTTTCATCACTTCAAATGCTAGCAGGTATTATTATATGACTATAAATTTTCTGTTTTCTCATTGGCTAAAAGCATAGGAAATCCCATTTGATAAAACATTATATTCACCGCAGCAAAAATCACAAGAGGTTAATATAAGATTTGGAACATCATCCGTGCACCTAAATATAGATATTCCAAGGCAAAGTCAATGACGTAGGTTTATGACGTCATGTAAGTTTTCTTTTTTTTTTATTCTTGTTCTCGGTGTATTTTTTCTCTTCTTTTTGTTATCGGTGGTTTTTTTAGTGAACGATATTGAATATTTCAACTTACGAAAATTTGCAACTGCAAAAGTATAAAAACAAGGAGTAGTTTTAAAAGTATCTTGAGCAAATACTAGAAAATTGGAGAAGGATAAAAAGCCATATTACAAAACAATTGTTGACTTTTGATTTCAGTTGATACAATGATTTATCAACCCTAGATATATGACACTCACTCTCGGCCGTTGGCCTTGGTGAATATCATATCTCTGGGGTTGATAAATCATTGTATCAACCTCATCAAAAGTCAATAACTGTATAATATTTCTATGAGTTAGTAATTGTATGTATCAAATGTGTAGTTTATAAATCGTTATATAAAAGATGGATATGTCACTCCATTTTTGTAAGATGACATATGTTGAAGTACTCCTATATTCTAGTAAAAGGAAATACGTTTTACAAAGGAGTTATTTTCTCCTATTTTGCAATCACGTGAAATTCGTAAATATATATCCCCCGCGCGAATAATTTGTACAGATCATCAATATTGCTAGGAATGGTGCAATTTTCGTCCGGTGCGCTAATTTGTCTCCCATGCGTTATTTCTTGTTAAAAGACCCTTTAGGAGGTATGACCATTTTACCTTTTTTTATTTCACAGAATCGCCGGAAATTGCTATAAGATCTTATTACAGTCATCGATTGATATATTCTTTTTGGAATTAATATATCCAATATAGCAATAAGTTAACATTGATTAGAATTTAATATCCCGTTTGTAATAAGGCTACTATTTGGATATCCAACTTCCAAACCAAATATATGTATCTATCAAGTAAAGTTTGAAGTAACCTGACTTAATGATTTATGAGTTTTACATATATTACGTTAATAAAAATCTACAACGTCGACGTCACTACACACACGGGCAAGAGTTGGTTAATATACAAAGAGTAAGAAGGAGCCAAAGGAAAAAACCGTCCAAAACGACAAAAATGAAAACTAAGAAAAGAAAGATCTTCTCTTTTATCGTATAAGTTTGTGTAAAAAACCCTTGTGAAACTGAAATATACACATCTAGAAAAAGACTTTTAGTGCTGTTTTATGAGATTTAATTAACGTAAATTCTTTTGGGTTAATGTCCGCTGTCTAATTAGAGACATCATGATTATCTAAAGCAAATATATCATCGGGCATATGCTAAGATGTGTTAAACCTAGGAACAAATAAAAAATTGACGGATTTTTTCAGAGTTTGGCCAAAAATTTTGACTCACCCTCTTCTTGTTTTGAGTTTTGATGTAGCCTTGGTATCTTCAACCTCTTTATTCTTCATAAGAATGCAGGAACAAGTCCGCAGTCAAAACAACTCAATGGGTACACAGGGGAAAACTATATCTAACAGCTGCCGAGGAACTTTATTGCCGAAACGTGCATAGATGTTGTCAAGATGAAACGTTAACACTTTAATTAGAAAGAAGATTATATATTTAAACTATATTTTATGTGTCATAAAAACATCCGGAATTATAGTATTTATTAGTAATAATGGTATTTATCTTTGAATGTACGAAGGATATAATTTTAAAAAGATGAATTAGCAAATATATTTTGAATGATTCATGTGCGGGTTCTGAAACGAAAGGATTCGTAACACTTGTACTTTGTCGAATAGGAAAAAAAATTAAAGCAGTCTAGATTTTTTTAGGATATACCTACTCCTCAGGCGTGCCTGAGATCCCCTCGTTTTTTTGTGAGGTTTTCCATGTTGCTCCGTCTTCTTTCTTTTTCCGGAGGGGTAAGCAGATCTTGTTTCTCATGTGACACCCGTAATGTTACTCCTATTACATACGTTAATAAGTTTTATCAAGTGATAAGACATCACGTAATAACGGATTGGTAATTGACTCTTATTTAACCCTAACACAAAACCAAATTCTAAACAATCAGTCTTGTAAAATTTTCTAACTATGGAACTTGACCAAATGTGAAATTTTGAAATTGAAGCATGTTTTTCTTTACGTGGGATAGACGAGACTATTAATGGTATGAACAACACAAACATTAAAAAGCACAAGGAACAATACTTTTATCTAAAGCGAAGGCAACACAAACGGCTTTAAAACAAGACTAGGGGTGATCTTAGGTGCTCCGGCCGAGTAAGCTGATCCTGCTCCACATGTGGCAACCGTCGTGTATCTCATATAAGAACAAACCCGGTGATGAGTCTAATTCGATAAATCACATTCGGGGAAAAGGAGGACGGAGTTGTGGTTACTGTAACTGCAACATATCCGTCGTCATCTGTAAAACAGATATTTCATAACGGTCAACCAACTCGTGATGGCGTCCGTAAAATTTTTCGAAAGGGATGATTTTAACTTCACCACTTGGAACTCTTGGTTTAATAGCTACCTTGTGAGCAGCAATCCTCTATCAAGAAAATTATGATAGGAAACGCAAGCCCTGGAATATCGCATCAACTAGGATATATATACTCCATATGCAGGCGCTGCTGGAATATTGCTACATTTCAACATATACGATGAACATGCCGACAATAGAATTTCAAAAAAATTTGAAGTCAAAACATTATTATAGTACAAATAGTATAAATATCTTGTTTTATCATAATGATTATTATTATGATTATTTATTTTAAAGAAAATGTAATATAAATGTTTTCATTTAAACAATTAAAAGGTATATGGAGTAATTTTACACGTACGTTGCAAAAATACAACAAATACAATTATTGTACAACAAAAACAAAGTTATGCTTCAAGGCAGTTGTATTCCGCTTTGTTTTAACTAATATGTTCTATTGACCGAATTTTAGATAAAACAATGTAATCTTTTGAACAGATATATCTCGTGTGTTTTGTTTTTTAAATGTCGATATACATAATCTGAGACTATGGTTAATACAGTATTGGTTCATAGATAATATCATACCACAATCACTGAAAATATGTCACAAAACAACATGCATGTCAATTGGTTTTGAAATCAATCAGTTTCGTTTGAGGTCAAGATCATGAAATCTTAAATACAATTATTGAGTGAATATATTCATCTACGGGCAATGTTTTGAATACTAAAAAAATGCCATACAGAGTAAACTTCCTATAAGTCGAATAGTTTCAGTCATATTAGTATATTTAAATTGATGGATATCTGTCCTTTTTAACGGTCTTCTGTTTCTGCTATCAAAAATTGTAGTTTTCAAGATGCAAGATTAATGTTTCACAAATTTCCGGAAATCGTAATTTGAAATCGTTTCTCCTATAAGGAGTAAGTTGGTGGCTTCAGTTTTTGCTTTTGATATATAAGGAGTATTGCTGATTATGCTTGATGTACGAAGTTTCGGTGTCTTTTATAACTTTTACGTAAAAAATTGAAAAACGATATGATAAGCCATTTGATAAAATTATGAAATAGATCGACATTCATACTCATATGAAGCATATTTCATGCAGAAACGTTCAAAGACATAAAGCAATAGCATCTAGCAAAGTTCTTTAATTTCTCTTTCAGGTATATATTGATGATGTGCTGTCACTAAACAGCCCATATTTTAAGTGAGTGCTCGCATGTCATATTTCCCTGAGATTCAGGATACTACCAACACTAAAAAGTCTGCTTCATATCTTGATATTTTCTTTGATATTGACACAGATAGAGGACTTCTCGCTAGAATCTTCAATTCGTGATGATTTCTACCTCCTATTTCGCAGGTCTGGAATAATATACACTATGCCTCATTATTTGGTGTTGACATATCTTAAGTAATAGACGTATACCTTTTCCTTGATATTGACACACATAGACGATTTTAAAACTAGAATCTATAAAATGCATGTTGATTTCAACCTTCCATTTCTTTGCCTGCAGAACATATCCTCTGGCTCATCATATCGCGTTTACATATGTGCATGTTCACACTATATAGACTTCATTAACACAGCTGTGCAACTGGAACAAAGACTGGTTTAAACAGAGTTATGAGGAACATTGATTGAAATCGACACTATATACGTTTTACGGTCGCAGTCACTAACTATGTGACTGATACGATATGGTTGTGTCTCAACTCATTAGCTGAATTTTTTTTGCTGTCTAGCTCATAAAATATGAGAATAGTCTTCTGATCGGTAAATCTATCGATTGTGTCCTAATCTTCTGATCGGTAAACCTATCAATTGTGTCTTAATCTTCTGATCGGTAAAGTTATCGATTGTTTCCTAGTCTTCTGATCGGTTAACCTATCGATTGTAATCTACTCTTCTGATTGGTAAAGCTATCGATTGTGTCCTACTCTTCTGATCGGTAAACCTATTGATTGTGTCCTAATCTTCTGATTGGTAAACTTATAGATTGTGTCCTAATCTTCTGATAGGTTAACATATCGATTGTGTCCTAATCTTCTGATAGGTTAACATATCGATTGTGTCCTAATCTTCTGATAGGTTAAACTATCGATTGTGTCCTAATCTTCTGATAGGTTAACCTATCGATTGTGTCCTAATCTTCTGATAGGTTAACCTATCGATTGTGTCCTAATCTTCTTATAGGTTAACCTATCGATTGTGTCCTTATCTTCTGATCGGTAAACCTATCGATTGTGTCCTAATCTTCTGATCAATAAACCTATGGATTGTGTCATAATCTCCCGATCGATAAACCTATCGATTGTGTCCTAAACTTCTGATCGGTAAACCTATCGATTGTGTCCTTATCTTCTGATCAGTAAACCTATTGATTGTGTCCTAATCTTCTGATCGATATACCTTTCGATTGTGTCCTAATCTTCTGATCGGTAAACCTATCGATTGTGTCCTAATCTTCTGATCAGTAAACCTATCGATTGTGTTCTAATCTTCTGATAGGTTAACCTATCGATTGTGTCCTAATCTTCTGATCAGTAAACCTATCGATTGTGTCCTAATCTTCTGATAGGTAAACCTATCGATTGTGTCCTAATCTTCTGATAGGTTAACCTATCGATTGTGTCCTAATCTTCTGATAGGTTAACCTATCGATTGTGTCCTAATCTTCTGATAGGTTAACATATCGATTGTGTCCTAATCTTCTGATCGGTAAACCTATTGATTGTGTCCTAATCTTCTGATAGGTTAAACTATCGATTGTGTCCTAATCTTCTAATAGGTTAACCTATCGATTGTGTCCTAATCTTCTGATAGGTTAACCTATCGATTGTGTCATAATCTTCTGATAGGTTAACCTATCGATTGTGTCCTAATCTTCTGATCAGTAGACCTATCGATTGTGTCCTAATCTTCTGATCAGTAAACCTATCGATTGTGTCCTAATCTTCTGATCAGTAAACCTATCGATTGTGTCCTAATCTTCTGATCAGTAGACCTATCGATTGTGTCGTAATACTGTCATTTTGTCAAAGCGAATGTCCAATGATGCATGCATAGCAGGAAACTCTAACTTCCGGTTTTGCTCTTTTTGAGTTCATGCGTTTCCCAGAGTAATTGTTTTACCATGATTTTTAGCTTCTTAATGAATTTATGAAATTTGAATATCGGTAATCTAGTGTTGCCTCAAAATTATAACATAATTCATAAAACAACGAACATTTGTTATATTCCTTTTTTCTGTAAAAGGAGTGCATAGCAATTATAAGTTTGTTTTATATTTATTGGCGGTTTTCCATCTAGTGTGTTCATTAGTCTTCAAGTTTGACCAGTTTAAAGTTGTTGCTGAATAAAGTTCTATACATATCTTAAATTGAATTCATGTATCAATGTATTGTTTTGTGTTTATGAAATTCAATATTGTTTTAAACGATCCCTTTTGATATACATAGAAAAAGGGCGGAAATAACAAGGGACATTCACAAATCATAAGTGAAATAAAATGTTTGGTAGAAAAGAAAAAGCGACAGAAAGACAAACATCTTAAAAACTTAGAACACTAAAGTTTGTTCAACACGTACCGTATCTGAGTTGAATCCGGAAGGGTAAGCAATAATTTATATGGTCATAATTATGAATTAACTGTTCACGAAACTTTGCATTTCTTGAAATACTAAGGATTTTCTATACCAGGAATAAATTATCTTAGCTGTATTTGATTAAACTTTTAGGATTTTGGGTCCTCAATGCTCTTAAACTTCGTACTTTGTTTGGCTTTTAACTTTTTTTTATTCGAGTGTCACTGATAAGTCTTTTTGGAGACGCAACGCTCGTCAAGCGTACAAAATTTCAATCCTTGTCGCTATAATGAGTCTATTTACAACCACTCGGTCGATGCAATTTCTGTTGACATGAATTATCATTGATATGGTCATAGTTATAAATTTACTGTTTACAAAACTTTGATTTTTTTTAGATAATAATGATTTTCTACCCCAGGTATCGATTACCTTAGCTGTATTTGGTAAATCAATATCAAACGATAATAATTCTTGAAAGTATATAATACAAATATTTACGACAGTTATATAATCATAATATTAATCAATATTTAGCATAAACAAAAACATTTCTCATGTAAATACTTAAACCTGTTTGTACTAGCAAATAGTAACCTCATTACCATATCTTGCCAGACAATAATACGTGTTAGGCTCAATTCTTTTCAACTTCGTCATTTGGTTTGCCTTTTGAACTTTTTTATTCGAGCGTAAAAAATTAAAAGCCTGGTATCTATAATTAGTTTATTTTATCAAACATTGACATTTTAAAGATGGCAAAATATTGTTGCAAAAAGACTACATTGACGGGTCATTGTCAAATATGAATCTAAATCAGGAAGATCAATACAAAAAATGAAACTGAATGCTTTTGTTCCTTAAATTAGATATAAGAACTAACAGGACCTAGTGCCTCAGATTAAGTAAACAAAATATTGAAATGTAAACAAAATAATTAGCTACATTTAGTGGTGAGTAAAGCCAGACTTAAACACACCACAATTGTACCAGGAATAAGTTGGCATATGCACTCTATACAACATCAATAAAAATTATGTTTTAATTACATCAAACAGTGTTGTCTATCTCTTATCCTCTAACACACACACACAAACGCTCTTTTTCTCTTATACACACAGAGATAAACCCTGTCTTTGTCTATGCAATCTACCGTAAGGCATCGATCAAACGTTCCCAAAAAGTCACTTCGTCTGCTTCATCATCCGGAAATTTTAAGTAGCTCTCGTCTTTCATGATATCATACATGTTTCTAGGAATGTCTCTTTCACTTATTTTCTCCTTTATCACCACAATGAGACAATCAAAACCTTGCCTGGAAACAACATATTCCATATAAGCCATATTGAGTTCGAATATACACCATCTGGACCTAAGAAAAGAAGGAGTTACTACGAAAATAACTTTACGACTATTATGGATAGCATTTATGATATTGTCTGCGACATCGCACCCAGGAATAAAATCCCGTTCATGAACGCATAGACGAAAATTCTCCTTTTCTTCGAGATTTTTTATAATGTTCATAATAACGAAAAGACGGTCCTCGTCAGCGTAAGAAAGGAAAGCATCAAATTTGTATTTTTGTCTATCTTCCAAACACATGTAATCATGCTGAAAATAATTACGTTTCGCAATATAATACCAGTATTTTAACTTCCATCTGTTTTTGTATATTATAGCTATTATGAGACAAACCAAAAATGCAATAATCAGAAGCATAATAACAATAACCAAAGCAGTATATGAAGAACATTTTTTGTTTAGAGATATTACAGCATCCGTTAAAGTTTCATAATTTGTAGCATTTGAACATTGGTATTTAGAAAAATCCTTAAACACACGTTGATTTAATTGTAACCAATTCAGAAATTTAAGAGAATCACATGAACACATAAATGGATTTTTGGAAAGGTCAATAATCAGATTCCTGCTTGTACGTTGCCTAATGCCATCTATTGCGTCATTTGATAAGTAAAGAATTTGATTTTCAGATAAATCTAGAAAGGTCAGATCTGGCATATGTTTTACATTTATATTAAAATCCGTTAGCAAATTGTCTTTTAAAATTATACGTTTTATTTTCTGCAAATTCCAAAATATATTCTTCGAAAGTGACGTGATTTTGTTTAATGACAACTCTAAATACAGAAGATTAGTCAGCGACCCAAAAACAAAGAAAGCATTTCGGTTTTGAAGTGTTCCAGCTAAACCTAACAAGTTATCATTCAGTAAAAGAGTTTCTAGTGATTGTAAGGAATTGAAAAAATATGGAGTAATCGTGGAGCATCGGTTACCTGAAAGATCAAGAAATTTGAGATTTGTCACATTACAGATGGGACCAATGAAACTATACAATTGATTGTTGCTTAAGGTTAGATTAACAATGGCCGGAGTATTGAATATTGTCCAACGAATAGCATACCCCAATCTTGAATTATTCATTATAATTGACTTCACATTTTCAGGAACTACAATATAGTGGACTTCGTCTTCGTTCAGTGGATAAAAACACTTCCATGGATCTGGTTTTATGGAAGTTCCAACCGAATTTCTACGTTTGATATCATCGTTGTAGTGGTTTGTAGTGTTAGCACATCCACCAGTAATATAATCGCCTATTACATTCTTAATCCTCGACTTCTCGCATGAAATATCTTCCAAAAAATGGGAACAACAAGTATAACGTGCAGAGCCGGATTGAGACATTTCGTGATTATTTATATTACTTACATCAATACGAACTAGGTTTGTCAAATTATCGTATGGCGACCAGGTATATAATCCAGCCACCCAACGGTTTTCGCTAATACTTAATACTAGCAAAGATGATGGCAAGTAAGCAAGTACTCCTGGTTGTCCAATTACGATATTATTACCATCAATATAAAGTTCTTGGAGGGAGGTATTTCGTAAATACCTGATATCATCGCAATACAACGTGACAGATCTGCTGTCCTGACAATACAAATTTCTTGCTCTAAAGATTTCTATGCTTGTTAGATTTAGGTCGTTCGTAATATTACGAAATCCGCAAAGTCCAAGATATCGGTTATTAGATATGTCAAGATATTTCAAATCAGCCAGTTTACCTATAGCTCCTCTGTGAATACTTGTCAAGGAGCAGTAACAAGGTGAACTGAGACTGTCATGAATATTTGTCCACACTTCTGTAGTAGAAACATCAAGATATTCAAGAAAAGGAAGATAAAGGAAAAAATTCTCCGTAATAATAAAAGTCCGTGAAGTGTTGCAAACGCCAGCGAGTTTCAATGACTTTAGATTCAATAGTTTCTCAAATCTTTTACCGAATGTTATGTTATAAAATATATCGACAGAGAGAAATCGTAGCGAAATCAATGGGGCCATCAATAGGTCAAATTCTTTAAATCCATTTTCCGGGATTACATTTCTTGATAAATCAAGCAATTCTAAGAACGAAAAATTTGAAAAAATGTTTGGAAAAAAAAAAGTTTCATCTATTACTATTTCATTTGATGATATATCTAAAGCAAGTAGTCCGGTTATTTTCCAAAATGTTATTCTCTCTCCATCCAAAGATAATCTATAGATCCTATTGTTTGATACATTCAGATCCTGTAAACCATCCGGTAAATTCTCGTTTGAGGGAGGATAAGTTAAATAGTTGAAACTAAGATTGATTGATGTGACGTTTTCGTTGAACGTAGGCGACGAGTTTAACTGCCTGCCACTGCAGTCTGCAAATATCCCATCGTCATGTTTAATGCAGTCACATTTTGGCTCCGTGCAACATGAAATGTCTGAATAAACATTATATAATGAATTACTCAGAAGGATAATTACAATGGCGTGCATATTTTCCCTAAAAAATAAAAAAAAAAAGAAATGTAATGAAAAAAAATAAATATTTATGTTCTGTGGCATTCAAATCCAAATATTGTAATTATTTGTAATTGTAATATTTTGAATTTAAGATAAAGCTGAAGCCCAAACATGTATGCATGTTTAAAGCCAGGATGTGTTTTGAAGTAGCTTTCAGTTACTAGGAGTAACCTAAGATCGGAATTTTGAATTGTTTATATATTTGTTATCTGTTTGGTTTTTTTTTGTGGTTTTGTTTTCATTCTTCAAGCCGACTTGAAAAGTAAAGCCATTTCGATTGTAATAGTTTTTTTATGTTGTGCTGTTCCAATATTCTCCCAAATTAGGGCCTGGTTGAGTGTTTGCAATCATGTTGAACCCCGACACATTCTGTATGTGGCTGTCTAAATTCAAGATCATGCATATCAGTGGTTGTCGTTAGTTGTTGTCCGGAATATTTGCCATATTTGTATTGTATTGTATTTAAATCAGACCGTTTAGTTTTCTATTTAGCATTATTATGTATTTTGTCATGCCGGGGAATTTTAATAATTTACTATACGGTATGGGTTTTACTCATTGTTATGGGGACCTATATAGTTAATCTCAATCATATCATATTATTTATGCTGGATAGTTGTCCCGTTGGTTATCATACCACATCTTCTTATGTCACTGGAAGTTAAGCAACGAACAATCCATCATTCAATCTTCTTATTTATAAATTGTTTTCTAACCTTAGATGCATGTTAATTCTAATAAGACACTCCTTTGACTTTATCTAATGTTTTCAATAAGCACAGCAAAACTTGGAATCCCTCGATTACCCCTTAAATCATTCACGATAGAGACAATCATAAATTTGTCCATCCCTTTTTTGTACTCATGATAAAATACATTTCAGTGAGTGCTTACATATTATATATTTAGGTTTTCTTACGATTAAAGATACTACCGAAACTTGAATGTCACCTTCATATTCTGTCCTCGGTATTGATACGACTCCAAACTAGAATATATGCCAAACCTGATGATTTTAACTTCCCAATTCTCAATTTTCAATTTGTAATTAATAACATACATTCTGCCCTGTCGTTTAAATTAAAATGTTCACATACTTAATATTGACTTCAATAGCAGGGGTGTGCGCCTAACACAAAAATAGGACAGAGTTATGAGGAAGAAGATCATAAATAGTTATTACATACATAGTTTTATTGTCAACCCGAGAAATTGGTTAATCGATATGAGAGGTTTGTGTATCAACAAAGTACCGACATGTTGTTTGCAGTCTAAGATACTTAGATCTTTAGATACCAGAATAGTCGTCACATTTGAATTTCACCTATCGTGTCATATTCCCGATTGTGGTATTTTACCTATCGTGTCATATTCCCGATTGTGGTATTTTGAGTTCGCATTGCGGGTGATTCATGCTCAGCTTACTTTGTCAACGCAGCCGGTGTCTCTCTTTTTGGAATTCATGCGATTTCCTCGGTTTGTTTGTTTGTTACCTTGATTTTTCTTTTCTTTTTATCTACTAATGAGATCTGAACACCGGTAAACTACTGTTGCCTTAACTTACCAACCATTTGATATAAGGATGTTATGATTCCGAAAGATGAATTAGCAAATGTTTTTTTTTAACTGAGCACTGATTTTATATAAATGAAAATGAGATCATTAGTAGATATCTATGCTACAACAACAAACACAAAAACCAAAATCCAATAATGTATGCGCGAATTTTACAATAACACAGTCAGTACACAGGCTGACTAGGGGAACATTTTAGGAAAATGAAATACTATAAAACTACAAATTATGAAGATACATTTCTAGCCATACAATTGCAGAATACTTCAATCATTATAACAAAAGTAAGGATAGACAGAATGTACAATAACTGGTTTGAAATCACAATAGTAATGATGAGGACTTCAATGCAAAAACATACATTTATACTTGGATCCCCTTAGATATGTACTTTGTGGTTTTTTTTTTGTAGTCATGTTAGTCATTTTTGTGCTTCATGCCATTTTATTGAGTTAAGCTATTTCGAAACGTTTTAGGCTCAGGGTAAGGGAAGGGTTAGGCTCTTACAAACAAGTTTTAACCTACCATATTATATATTTGCCTGTCCCAAGTCAGGTGTCTGTACTTCAGTGGTTGTCGTTGGTTCATGCCGGTCATGACATTAGTTTGTGTCTTGTAAATCAGGCCGATCGTTTTCTTGTTTAACTTGCTTCACATTTTGTCATGTTGAGTTTTTAATAGCCAACTATACGGTATGGGTTATGGTGATTAGTGAAGGTCGTAAGATGACATATAGTTGCTTACATCAACGTCATTTGGACTTTGGTGAATAGTATTTTCATTGGCTATTATATGCCACACCTCCCTTATTTCTATACGGTATACATAGGATATTGCCCCTTTACAATGTAGTTTAGGTACAATTACATTATTGTATTAATCGCAAAAACAATACAAACAATTAAAACTACAATACGAAAAAAAAAAAACGAATTTGCTGATCATCGTTCATTTGTCCTTTTATAAGTAAGAAAATCCTATCACCTGTGTCACTGGTATCTGCATTGTGAGTGTAATTAGTATGGAATTAAACGAAGAGGGTAAAGAAAAAGAAAAAGGAACGAAAAACTTGAAGAACATTTCTAACAACAGAATGAAAAAAAATAAGCTTTACCTTTGTTTGGAAAAGACACTGGTGTATGTAGATATAATTGAAGAATAATGCCCAGTATATTTAAGATACAAGGAAGAAAACAATTCAACAATACTACATAAACATAATGGCCTGCTCCATACACTTGTGATAAGCTTTGTTTTCACAATTATGTCTTACGCCCTTATTTACTGCACGAAACTGTCGCTTTAAACACCTGTTTGTAAATATATCCATGTGTTAAGCGAAGTATATTCTTTAAATGTGTTTGTATTTTCTTTGCAAGTCGTAAATGTTATTATTTGATTTGTTTATATACTTTTGTGCAGTTTTTAGGAACCGCTAACTACACTTGATGCAATCCTTACAACATGAATAAAATGTGGTTATTCAAATAAGGATATTTGTTATAGTTTTCAAGGATTGCAAAGTAATTATACGAGAGATATATTTACACCAATGAAGAAATGTGAAAATGCAAAATCTCTTAACTGTATTTAAATGTATTTGGCAATATGAATAAATAAAAGTCGTTGTTCAAGATATGCAAATAAAACATTTTCAAATGACTTTTTCAAACAAGAAATTAAGCGTGAACATCTTTATTTGTTAAAGAATAAGAAGAAATAAATAATGAATAAGATGCTTCAATATCAACATTATAAATGTCAAAATGATTACCCAGATTCATTTTTACAAATGTTTTATCCAGTACAGGATAAATATAAACAGAAACGTTTACTACTTTTTTTGGCAGAGTGTATTAACGCAAAAATGTGGCTGCTATTATAAATACATACAAATGCAAGCATTTAATGATTAGTTGCGAAATTCTACGTCATTTGGTTTCTGGTTTAAAGCTGTACCATTGGCAATCATTCCACATCTTTTTTTTTTATATTTCATTTATTTACTTAAACACCTTTACAAGGGTGTGTTTAATACGGAATCCGTAGCTTTATATTGCATACGCAGGTGTGTATTGTTTTCTTTATAGTTTCGTTTTATTAGGGGGAGGGACTCTTATTTTCGTAGTTCGCAATTTTTCATAGTTTGCAATCTGCTGGCATAATTTCGTTTTTGTCTTTCTGTCTTTAATCAATCCTCCATTAAATTTGCCTTTCAGATAAAAGTTCTGTAAATCGTTCTTATTAGACATTTGTATAACATATACTGCAATTTATTCTTCGAAAACATTTGATCTTTATTGTTGAACAGATTAATTGAAAAAAAGTGTAAAACCAGAAACTAAATCTCAATCTAGTGATCAGATAATAATGATGGCATCGTATCTCTTGTTTAAAAATTTCCTTGATTATAAATAATGATAATCAGAGTTTGCTTAAAAAGATAGGCATAACGAAAACTAAAAAGTTTATTTGCAAATGGTCTCAAATAAATGTAATTTGACCTTTTCATGCAGTGACATGTTTTAGTCCCGTTCAAATGATAAACATTAACATTAATAATCCAAGTAAGGAGCATGCAATTCAGTGTTTGTCTTGGTTCATGTCTGTCATATTTGTTTTTCATCAGTTTGTTTGTTATAAATCATGACGATGATTTTCTCGTTTGAATTGTTTTTCATATTTTGTCATGTCGAGGCTTTTGTAGCTGACTATGCGGTATGAGTTTTGCTGATTAGTGAAGGTATTTCGGTGACCTATAGTTGCTAACATCCACACTATTTGGACTATGTTGGATATTTGCAATCATACCACATCTCCCTAATTTTTATACGGTCAATTTTATAATAGGAAGTTTACACTTTACATATATATAATATAACAAAAATACCGAACTCCGAGGCAAATTCACAAACGGGAAGTCCAATAGGCGCTTTCAATCAGCGGAACAAGTGAAAAAAGCAACTATCATATTTCTGACTTTGTACAGGCATTTTTACCGAATTTTTCATTTAGGTACAATGATAATTTATCAATTGCAATTTACAAAAAATCAAATAATTTTAACTGCGGTACAAAAAACAAACTCGCTGATCAACGTTATTTGGTCTTTTATAAATAAGAATACACTTTACACTTCACATTCGTTTGATGTGTTTGTGCTTTTGATTTTGCCATTTGATTAGGGACTTTCCGTTTTGAATTTTCCTCGAAGTTCAGTATTTTAGTGATTTAACTTTTTGCATCACTGGTATCTACGATTTAAATGTAACTAGTATGTAATAAAACGAAGAGGGTGAAGAAAAAGAAAAGGTAGAAGGACAAGAAGAATATCAACAGTATAAGAATGAGAAAACAAAATTTTCTATACCTGGTTTGAATAAGACACTGATGTATGTGAAATAATTGTAGAATAAAGACCAGTTTATTTTGGTTACAAGGAAATAAATGATCTAACAATATGACATACACATAATGGTCTGTTTCAAATCTCCTGTGATCGGCTGCATATTTCACAATTATGTCTGATCCCTGTATTTACTGCATGAAATCGTCGATTTACACACATATTGTCCATTTGTTACATAAGTGCAAATTAAATCTTCTTAAAAACATGAAGAAATTGTACTCATTCAAATGTTGTTATTTGTTATAGTTGGGAATAATTGCAAAGTTAAAATATGATATAAACACCTAAAGAAATTTCTAAACGGTACATAAATGTATTTGCAAAAATTGATTAAGAAAATAGTCTTTCACGAATGGTAAATATTCAAATTCTAAGAAGTTTATAAACAAAAAAACACTTTGCTAAAGAAACAGAAGAAATATATAAAAAGTAACGATGTTTAAATATCAAAAATATTTGTTTTTATGTGAAATGGTTGCGCAGGTAACAATTTACTACAGAATACAGGCAAAAGCAATGTTTTACTAACATTAAGTGGCATATGTAACAAAACACAACATTTGTCTAATATTTTAAAGCTAGACAAATGCAAGCATTGTATTTATCTATTTACATACAATTACAAAGGTGTGTTTTATAACATATACATACCTTTACGTTCCGTATCCAGGTTTTTGTTTTCTTGATTGTTTCTTCTTATTCGGGGAGGGGTTCTGTTCTTAGTAGTTTACAATCGGTATATTTTTCATTTTGTTTCTGTCATTCTCAAACAATTGTGCCTTACAAATATTCTACGAATCGTCCTTGTTGGAAATTTGTATAAAAGATATTGCAGTATATTTTACAAAACATTGAACCCTTTATGGTTGAACAGATTAAATGAATAAGTGTACAATGAGGAAGAAAGTCTCAATAACAAAAAACACTGATAATAATGATGGTACCATATCTTTAGTTTAAATCTCTTCTTGATTCTAATGATAATTATCATAGAGATTAAAAATAAATAAATATAATGAAAACAAAAATAGTGATTATTTTTATCAAATATATGCATATGTTCGCAAATAAATGTAAATTGACATTTCATGCAGTGACATATTTAAGCTCCGTTCATATGGCAATAAATAACACGTGCATGAAAATATGCATACTGCCAAATTTGTTAATGTATGTAAATGGAATTTCCAATGCGTTCATATATAAATATTCTATCAAGAGTGTATCTGCCGTAAATTTACATTTATCTTTATAAGATAAGGTTTGAATCCTTTCCAGGTAAAACCGAAGACTTGAGAATTGGTATTTGCTGCTTCTGTATTAACCATGCGGTTTTAGAGTAAGGGCGAAGACTGTTCGGCTCGTAGGCAGAATAATGTGTCTTGGTAGGTTGACAAGTATTTCTGCGGCCTGTAATCTTGTCACGTGGCGCATAAAAACCTCAGCGTGTCGATCAGGTACTAAACAACGCTTCATATTCATATCTTCCATAACATGTTCCTTTCCTGATATTATAGTAATTTTTTCACTCGACGTTAAACATCAAGCCACCATTATCATCTTCAAAATAGTCGAGTCGTGCGATGTCTAATAGCCAATAAACACAAATGTCTCATACCGAGGTAGATAAAGGAGCAAGCTACCTTTCTATATACATGTAGCTGCAGGCAGAGATACATATATGGTAAAGAAAAAAAATATGGACGCGCGAAAGCTCTTCAATTTGTCAGGATAACATGGTTTTATATACAGATACATGAAGAGCGATTTGATTCAGTGAAAGTTGATATCAAAATGTTATTTTTCAGTAAATGCAAATATCATTTTAATCCATTCTTATGATACTTTTAAACTTATGACGGGAGGTGGGTTGGATTAAATGGGGGTTGGGTTGTCGAAGACGATAAAATTATGAAAGAGAGGACATCCAGTACTTAACATTAATGGTTCTCGTTCTAAAAGGAGCTTAATCGGCCTTTGCAGTATGAACGTACCTACCATTCCATTTGCTTCACCATCCTTGCTTTTTTGTTTAGTTTGTTATACATATAACAAATCTAAAATACCAGAGATGACAAAATGAGAAAACAATTCAAAGACAACATCAACAGTCAGGTTAATAATTTAAACAATAAACGGAATCAATTATGAAGAATAATAACCAACGTCGTCCTTTGAATCAAGAGTCCCAGAGAGTTGCGATACACACATAAAGAATGTTTTGAAATTAAATGTTTCTGAGAGCGCAACCCTATCCTAACCTGGGATTTTGGGTTCACAGTGTAAACAACTAACTGTAAAAAAATTTGTTGAAATCACAGTTGACTCATCAGATTGGTAAAAGGATATAAGGGTCCTATATATTACATTTTCAGCATCTTTTCGACTGTGTGTCAACAATTTTCGAAATTCCAAAAAGTTGTAATCCGGTTGAACATAAGGAGGACGTTTGAAAACAAGGAATAAACACAGCATCGCATCCGACTTTCTACACCACAAGCATCACGTGTTGTACGGCTAATAATAAAAATCAAAGGATAAGTCGCATTCTGATATGTCATTATCGCTGTATAGAGGACTTGGTTTAGACAATGACAAGTGGAGCATATCTGTGGTCTCTAGCTTCATCCAAATTATAATGCCAATATTTCAAAGAAAAGGACATCAATAATTCTATTAATAGTTTTCATGATAAAAGCAACCCTTTTCCTATCTTACAGAAATAGGGATTGATAAGCAAACCTTAGGATTGAAGAATCATCAGAAACTTCAACTGGAAACAGTTTTATTTTTTGCAATCAAACAATTAGTAAATCCCTTTTTTTTTATTCGCAGATTAACCATGTGAAGCAGGATCTGGTTATCCTTCCGGAACACTTGATATCCCCCAGTTTTTGGTGGGTTCGTGTTGCTCAGTCTTTAGTTATCTATGTTGTCTTTTGTGTACTGTCTTTTAGTTTTTTTATATCTTGTTTTGCCATGGATTGTCAGTTTGTTTTCAAATTATTAGTTGGTATCATTCGCCTTTTTTTAACGGATCTGGCTTATTTATCGTCTTCATATTTAAAACCATTAACTTCAGTGAGTATCCATGTAATTCTCGGTTTATCGTCCGGCCTATCTCCAACAATGATACTGTAAAAGATTGCAAGAACTTCGCGGTCACTTAAAAAAATCGGGGCTATAGAAGATAAGACATTGATCAAGGTTTCTTTCGTGCTAATATCATCAGCCTGCTTGCACTTTTTTAATATAAGGAGAAAAAGGAACAAAAGAGTCCAGTTTGTGCTGAATTACCATCCATAATATGGCAAGTTATCACATCTTATCCGCGAAAATTGCAAAGAAATTAAAAATATCTTAAACTATCAAAGATCTTTTCCGAACCACCCGTACTGGCTTTCCATTGGGCCAAAAGGCTTAAAGACTTGACGGTAAAAGCTGTTTTATCCTATAAACCAGGCTCTTCGGAAGTCAGCTCTTACAATGTTTCTGGGAACAGACGATGTCTGACTTGCAAGGAAAGACTGAAGTTACACCTCTGGTACGAAATACATCATATTTTGCAAGGTTACTTGCAAGATTTCAAATGCTGTCTATATTTTATAGTGTAAATGTGGTAAACAGTATTTTTGGTGAGTCAGAACAGCCATTTCACGAACGTTTCTCTGAACTAGTACACATTTTTGTTTAAACGCCAGCTGAAACCTGCCTCCGGGTGCTGGATTTTTTCGATGTGTTGAAGACCCATTGGTGGCCTTATGCTGTTTTCTGATCTTTGGTCGGGTTGTTGTCTCTTTCACACATTCCCCGTTTCCATTCTCATTTTTATTTGAACGGCCATCGTAGTGACTATGAATGTAAGATCATGTAAGCTAGACCTTCCTCTCAATGGACATTTGTGATCACCTGACCACACTAAGGCAGATCTCGATCGAATAACTATAACCACCATTGACCACAACACTGATTGGTCTAAGGAAGAAATAATCACTCGGGAAAGATTGTGGATAAACAAATTAAAACAATGTTAACAGAAAACGGCATCAGTGAAAAGGTGTAGTCAAAATCGCGCTGTACTACCACCTAAACTGAATGTGTTGGCTTCATTTTGGATATATTTATTGACACCCGTATTTACTTTTCCCTTCTGTTAATTTTTGGTGTTGTTTTTTACACCTTGTAGGCATATATTTAGTTGATTTATTGTGTACAGTATCGTTTTTTATAACGATCCAACGCTAATATTATTTGTGAGGTAAATACTTTAACATGTCTGGCTAAACGTAGAAAAAAACTTTGCAAAGTCAGAACATGAAATACAACTTGATATCAAATATTTAAAGATTGTAGATTGAATAAGTAACATCAAACACTATCCGCTATCTCATCATGACACGTTGTTAAATAAATACTATATTTAAAACAAATATGAATCAAAATCAGTAAGATTTATTCAAGGTACGAAAATTATAGATATTATTGTATCAAATTCCATTTTTGATTTAATTATTAACTAGCAGGACCTAAAGCATTAACTTAAACAAACACAATATGGAAAGGCGAATAAAATACAAACATATATATACATAACACTCTTACCCATCTGGGGCACCCGAGTTACCTTCGAGTTTTGGTGTGGTTCATGTTAGTCCCTAGTTCCCATGTTTTTTGTTTTTTGTGTTTTTCCTTTTGACGCTTTCATTTTTTGGCCATGGCACTGCCTGTTTTAATTGGAATATTGGAATATAATTCCTCCTTTGTATATTCTCTATATTTTATAATACACATAAACCACACACACACACACACACACACACACACATACATTTCCTGTATATCCAAACTAACGTAAAGAATTGATTAAACGTTCCCAAAAAGCCGCTTGATCGGCTTCATCATCTGGAAATGTTATATAGCTCTCGTCCTTCATGATGTCATACATTTGTCTAGGAATGTCTCTTTCACTTATTTTTTCCTTTATTACCATAATGATACAATCAACACCTTGCCTGGACACAGCATATTCCATATAAGCCATATGTTGTTCAAATCTACACCATTTTGACTTCATGAAAGAAGGAGTTACAACGAAAATTACTTTACGACTCTGATGAATAGCATTTATGATATTGTCTGCGATATCGCACCCTGGAATGAAATCCCGTTCATGAATGCACAGACGTAAATTTTCATTCTCCTCGAGTTTTTTTATCACCTCCATTATAATGAAAAGACGTTCTTCTTCAGCGTAAGAAAGAAAAGCATCAAATTTGTATCTTTGTCTATCTTCCAAGCGCATATAAGCATGCTGAAAATAATTACGTTTTGCAATATAGTACCAATATTTTAGCTTCAATCTCTTTCTGTATATGATAATTATTATGAGGAAAACAATAAAGGCAACAATAAGAAATAAAATTACCATGATCAAAACGGTATGTGTAGAGCATTTTTGGTCAAGAATTATTACGACATCTGTAAGGGTCTCATAATTAGTAGTATTTGAACATTGGTATTTAGACAAATCCTTAAAAACACGTTGTTTTTTTTGTAACCATTTCAGGAATTTGAGTGAATCACAAGAACACAAAATCGGGTTTTTGGAAAGGTCAATGTTTAATCTCCTGCTTGCACGATGACTAATGTCATATCTCGCGTTTCTAGATAAGTAAAGAATCTGGTTTTCTGATACATCTAAGAAGGTCAAATCTGACATATGTTTTAAATATATATTCAGGTCAGTTAGCAAATTGTCTTTTAAACTTATTAGTTTTATTTTCTTCAAATTCCAAAAAATGTTTTTCGAAAGTGACGAGAGTTTGTTTGATGACAAATCTAAATACAGAAGATTAGTCAGAGACCCAAAAACAAAGAATGCATTTCGGCTTTGAAGTGTTCCAGCTAGGCCTAACAGGTTATCATTCAGTAAAAGAGTTTCTAGTGATGGTAAGGAATTGAAAAAATATGGAGTAATCGTGGAGCATCGGTTAACATTACGAAATCCGCAAAGTCCAAGATATCGGTTATTAGATATGTCGAGATATTTCAAATCAGCCAGTATGCCAATAGCTCCTCTGTGAATACTTGTCAAGGAGCAGTAACAAGGTCTATTGAAATTATCAAAAATATTTGTCCATACTTCTGAAGCGGAAATATCAAGATATTCAAGAAAAGGAAGATTAAAGAAAAAATCTTCCTTAATGATAAAAGTCCGTGAAGTGTTGCACACACCAGCGAGTTTCAATGACTTTAGATTCGACAATTTCTCAAATCTTCTACCGAATGTTATCTTTTCAAAAATATCTACAGAGAGAAATCGCAGAGAAATCAATGGGGCCATCACTTTCTCGAAATTTGTAAATCCGTCTACGGGAATTACATTTCTTGATACGTCAAGCAGTTCTAAAAGCGAAAAATTAGAAAAAATATTTGAAAAGAAGAATGTTTCATCAAGTAATATTTCATTTGATGATAAATCTAAAGTAAGTAGTCCTATTATTTTCCAAAATGTTATTCTCTCTCCATCAAAAGATAAGTTAAATATTCTATTGTGTGAAACATTCAGGTGAAGTAAACTCTCTGGTAAATTCTTGTTTGAGGGAGGATAAGTTAAGTTATTGATGCTAAGATTGATAGATATGACGTTTTCGTTGAACGTAGGCGACGAGTTTAGCTGTTTTTCACGGCAATCTGCAAATATGCCATTTTCAAGTTTAATGCAGTCACACTTCGGCTCTGTAGAACACGAAATGTCTGAAGAAACATTGTTTAATAAAATACTAAGTAGGAGAAACTTTATGCCAAACATATTTTCCTGCAACAAATGAAAATGAAAAATCATTTATTAAAAAAATGTTAGGTTCTAAAGCAATCAAATCATGACAATGTAATTGTTTGTAATCGTAATATTTCAAAAAAAAATCATCCACAAAAGTATGTCAGTATGTGGTAAAGTGCAAATATCCATTATATATAAAGCCATATGATTGATTGATTGGTTGTTGACTGATTGTTGGTGTTTCACGCTACTGTCAGCACTATTGACTATTTCGGGTTTGCCAGTTTATAATGGTGAATAAAACCGGAGTACCAGGAGAAGACTATCGACCGAAGGATTTATTTGTGGGATGCCAAAACTGCTTTGCACACAGGGCTTAGCAGCTGTAAAATATTGACAGTGTAATCTTAATCTTGTTTATATTTTGTTTACCTTTTTATTAATATTTTAATTAATTTCTATTTTAACGAAAAAATGTATACTATATACTGTATGTGGTATCAAAAAGTAAAATAACAAAAATACCGAACTCCAAGGAAAATTCAAAACGCAAAATTCAAATCAAACAATGATTTGTTGGCGTCTTTGTAAGTTGCATGTGTGTTTGAATGTTTTGGACAGTTGTGTTGTATGCCTGTGATGTATGTTTACACATTTTTTGCTGCTGGGTCCCTATTAAGTCTGGTTTGATTGCTTACCACATTTTGCCAAAATAACGAAACTATAAACAACTGTCATACAAATGGGAGATTAAGCTACCAGGTTTTACCCACAATTTTCTTCGGGAAATGCCTGTTCTAAGCTTTAGTCAGCAATATGACAGTTGTTTTTCATTCGTTCCGTTGGTTGATATAGTTGAGTTTTTGATTTTGTCAGGTTTTATGGACTTCCCCTTTATGAATTTACCTTGGTGTTTGGTTATTTTGGTAATTTACCTTGGTGTTTGGTATTTGTGGTAATTTACCTTGGTGTTTGGTTATTTTGGTAATTTACCTTGGTGTTTGGTATTTGTGGTAAATTACCTTGGTGTTTGGTATTTGTGGTAATTTACCTTGGTGTTTGGTATTTTTGGTAATTTACCTTGGTGTTTGGTATTTATGGTAAGTTACCTTGGTGTTTGGTATTTTTTGGTAAGTTACCTTGGTGTTTGGTATTTATGGTAAGTTACCTTGGTGTTTGGTATTTTTTGGTAAGTTACCTTGGTGTTTGGTATTTTTTGGTAAGTTACCTTGGTGTTTGGTATTTTTTGGTATACTTTGTTGTACTACTTGATCTAACCCAGAAGATTACTAATATAATTGTGCAAATTCAAAGGACGAAATGATTTCAAAGGATATGTGCTGACATTATGTCAGGCAACTTAAGATTTTCGAGTAATTAAATCTCAATTCTTGATATCACTTAAACATTTGTTATACTCCGGGGAAGGGAGATCGGGTGTCACTTCGTGCACATTCAAACAACGAAATGATTTCAAAGGATATGTGCTGACATTATGTCAGGCAACCTAAGATTTTCGAGTAATTAAATCTCAATTCTTGATATCACTTATACATTTGTTATACTCCGGGGAAGGGAGATCGGGTGTCACTTCGTGCAAATTCAAACAACGAAATGATTTCAAAGGATATGTGCTGACATTATGTCAGGCAACTTAAGATTTTCGAGTAATTAAATCTCAATTCTTGATATCACTTATACATTTGTTATACTCCGGGGAAAGGAGATCGGGTGTCACTTCGTACACATTCAAACAACGAAATGATTTCAAAGGATATGTGCTGACATTATGTCAGGCAACCTAAGATTTTCGAGTAATTAAATCTCAATTCTTGATATCACTTATACATTTGTTATACTCCGGGGAAGGTAGATCGGATGTCACTTCGTGCACATTCAAACGACGAAATGATTTCAAAGGATATGTGCTGACATTATGTCAGGCAACTTAAGATTTTCGAGTAATTCAATCTCAATTCTTGATATCACTTATACATTTGCTATATTCCGGGAAGGGAGATCGGGTGCCACTTCGTGCACAGTCAAACGACGAAATGATCTCAAAGGATATGTGCTGACATTATGTCAGGCAACTTAAGATTTTCGAGTAATTCAATCTCAATTCCTCAATTCTTGATATCAATTATAAATTTGTTATACTCCGGGGAAGGGAGATCGGGTGTCACTTCGATATTTTCTCTAATGTGTCATACTTTTCCTCAGTTCTTAACTTTAAACTCTTTCCTCTTGTTTATATTAGTTTCTGTAGAATACACTAAGTCACTCAGTGAATCTATCAGTAAAAAATAGACTATTCGAGAGCAATAAAATACTTATAATACAATGCACAATTTACAATACATGTATTCCACATACCAGTCGAACAAATGGAGCTCCAGTAGGTTATTGCCCTTAGATCACAATTTAATGTTTAACAGTTGCTTCAGATTGATCTGATTTCGGTTTTGAAAGTTTTCAAAGGTTGCAAATCGCTAGTCCTTTTAAATGTGACGCCGGGTCAAACGGTCAGCCACCAAACCTCCTAAGATCGCTAGTCAGATGTTGGGGCCAAAAGAAATAGTTAAGAGTATCTTTATGATTAGCAACAAAGGCGTAGAAACTTGGATGTTTTATGTAAACAAATAGGATTTTTAACACATTTTATTTAAAACAGAATTTGTTCATATATGTAACTCATCAAACAAATGTTAGGCATTTAGAGATAAGAGCAAAACCTCTTTGACTCAAAACATGTATCAATCAGTACCAAAACAGAACCAGTATTAACGACATTTATGATAAAGAGGTCGTCAAATATGTTTGTATGTTACCTTTTAAATCTTAAATATTTCTTATTTTATGTAGTTTACTCATCCATTGGTTGCAGGCTAATGAAATTATTTAAGGAATGACTGTAACATTTTTTCTGTCTATGAAGAAATAACATCAAAAATGTGTAGCAGGTTATTTAAAAGTGTGCACCTCATTTTTTATGTTATTTCGAATAGACAGAAAAAATATTAAAGTCATTCCTTATAATTTAATTCTAAAAAGGAGTAAATAATGATAAAAACGTTGATGACGTCGCGGTCACATGACAAAATTGTGTCTATGAGCTGATAGACAAAACACTTTCAGCCAATCAGAAGACGCGTTACATCCAAAATTAAATTATATGTAAATATAAATTGAAAGTAAAATGAAACACTTACTTATTTGTAACAGCTTTGAGGAGGTAATTTCTTCCGAACTAAATCGAAGTTTTATGTAATAAAGGATATGATCATTTACTTACCTATGTATTTTGCTAAACCGTTTTATGTTTGACTTTAAATTAATTTTATCGCATGACTAGATTGACAGAGAGAGTTAAAAATTAAAAAAAAAAAAAATCTATATAGTTGTAAACATCTTTCATCGTTAAAGTCAGTTTACCTATGAAATGTATAATATCTGAGACGTTATTATGTAAACTAAATGAAAACTATTATGCTGTGCATGGTATCCGTGTTAGAGACACATATCATTATAGAATTTTAAATAAAATCTATATAAAAGTTATATAAGGTATGATAAGGCCAATTTTAGGTTCCTTGAAATCGAAAATTAAAATGTATTGTAAATTTCCCAAATAACATTCTTAAGATGTTAAAAAGACAATAATCTGTCAGATATATAAAGGATGTGTATGTGTCTGTTTGTTTAAGATATTGCTCATATTTCTTTAGACCAAAACTACGGCCATTTTTTTTTTATATACATTATGTGATTTCGACATATATGTATTATATTACTGCGTCAACGCATGTGACCTTCCTGCTCTTAAGTATCCTGGAGCTGTGACTCTTATCGATGATAGTAATATGAAATTATTTTGATTGAACTTTGTGTGCTTTGTTTAGACCTTTAAATAATATCATTGATTCTTGGCTACACCAAGACTTTATTGTAAAATGTTGTTTTTAAATTTATTTGGTTATTTTTTTTAAGTGACTTAACTTATTGAGTGTATTAATTGAATTGCATATCAGTCAGGATTCTACTTCGTCAAAATTATCTCCCCATTACACCACCTTATTTTTATAATCGTAAAAAATGGAAGCCATTGTAGTGATGACGCGCTGTTATTTTAGCTCTTGAAAACCGATCAATTTATCCACATAGCATATTACAATCCTTATATATGCCAGTTGTATTTTGAAAGACAAATGTATCTACTTTTCAGGTAATTTTCTCTACAGGTATTTCACATCCAATTTTTTATGGAAATATTCTTTATAAAGCACAAAAATGTCAGTATTCACCTCTGAAGCTAACAAAACCTTTAAATAGACTTATTAAGAAGGGATATAGTTACGATACTGTTGTCAGGTCATTAAAGATTGCATATTTTGGCGTTAATATTGATTCACTTATAGGGTCTTTGCATCGGCACTAAACACATTTATTTAAAAACCAGTTGTTGGCATGACACGGGTTATGTTCTTCTCATATATGTTATGATGGTATGATACTAAACCCCTAACGGGAAGGATTGTGCCTGATATTCATATGATGAAGACATAATCTTTCAATCAGTTTAATTGAAGTCTGGAGCTGGCATGTCAGTTAACTGCTAGTAGTCTGTTGTTATTTATGTATTATTGTCATTTTGTTTATTTTCTTTGGTTACATCTTCTGACATCAGACTCGGACTTCTCTTGAACTGAATTTTAATGTGCGTATTATTATGAGTTTACTTTTCTACATTGGCTAGAGGTATAGGGGGAGGGTTGAGATCTCATAAACATGTTTAACCCCGCCGCATTTTTGCGCCTGTCCCAAGTCAGGAGCCTCTAGCCTTTGTCAGTCTTGTATTATTTTTAATTTTAGTTTCTTGTGTACAATTTGGAGTTTAGTATGGCGTTCATTATCACTGAACTAGTATATATATTTGTTTAGGGGCCAGCTGAAGGACGCCTCCGGGTGCGGGAATTTCTCGCTGCATTGAAGACCTGTTGGTGACCTTCTGCTGTTGTCTGTTCTATGGT